GCTGTGACCAGAATAAAAAGAGAAGCGATGGAAATAGATCTGAATCCGATTGACGATGAACGAAATGAGTTAATTAAATGCAACCCGAGCCGATGCAAATGAATAAGTCATAACTGCCACCGTTCTTTTCGTATGTGTGTGTGTAGGTTCGTGCGCCGCGGCGCTAATTGATTCTTAATTAACTTTTCACCTTAATTGCGTTTACACTTCGCTCTTCGGCCGCGCTTCGGCAATTATCGTCGTTGATTTACGGCGATTTAATCGCGACCGATTTTCCAATTTAAATCGATGTAAATCAACGCAGATCCACACGAACCAATAAGAAGTCATAATAACTCATGTGATTTATACTAAGTCTTTATTAAATTAATAAATATTTTGAAATTTATTAAGTATTAACCTCAAAAACATAAAAATTATGGAAAGGGTTTATATCTATGTATTTATTAACCAAATTTGTGGTTTAAAAAATGGTAATGATTGATTTGCGGTATAAAAACCGAACGGAGGAGAAAATAAATATTTTAACATAATTATTATCGTAAAAAGTTGAAATTAGACATTGAAAATAATTTTTATTGTAACTACATCGTAAAATTCACGTTTGAAAAATGTGCCAATGATTGAGTTGCGGTACAAGACCCGAACACAAGAGAAAATAAATATTTTGACGTTAATATTAACTTAAAATAATAAATATTAATTTATAAAATCATTTACATAAAAAAATCTTTAGAATTAATGTCATAACATCGTAATATTTGTGATTGAAAAAATTGGCTAATGATTGACTTGCGGTACAAGTGCCGAACATAAGAGATTCACATATAAAAAAACTTTGCAGTAAATTTATGGCAGTTTTTATTAGCGGCACGAATGCAAGTTCACAAGTAGCAAAAAACATGGGAAGAAGCCACGGGGGGGTGTGCGAGATTGGCGCGTTCATCGATGCATGCTCAGTGTGCGACTGATTGAAGGGGTGCGCAATGGTGATAATTGCGGTCGCATGGCATTTATCTCCGTATTACGTCTGCGTACGATTGCCAATACTGCAACTGCGTTCGTGTCGTTACGCAATCCAACGATTATGTTATTACTTTATTACATTAAAATTGCACGTGGTGCAATACGTAAATTCAACAAAGTTGAACATTTCATAAACGCGAAAAAAAGGAAGAAACAACTTATTTGACACATTTTTACCGCTGATTGTATCTTTGAGTCTTGTTATGTTTTAATAAACGCAATATCTTTATTTTTACGATGCCAATTAAATTAACATCGACGTTTTTGGTCATTCTGGTTTCTTCTTCATTGTTTTTTTCTGCTCGTTTTGAAAACTGCTTTGAAATGCGAGTCGGACTTGTTTTGTGTGGTGATTTTCACTGCGCGCTCGCAGAATGCGAGTTTACGTCAATTATTATTAACAAGTAGTCAGGCTGAACGGAATATTTTCAATAACTTAAATTTCCCAATGCTTTGGCCTCACTTCCCTGCGTAGTAAACACATAATAAACTAAAGTTATGATAGTTATCGTTACATATGTGACACATTTAACAATTTCATGTTGGTTGCGCGCATTCCCGACATTGAAAAGTTGCCACCCCTCGGAATTCTCGCATCAGTCGCATCCCGTCATCCGAAAACCGACGAAACCGTTGGCTGTGTAAAGGGTGGCTTGCTTAGCTTGCTGGCTTTCAGGGTGGGCGACGAGTAGGCGGCTCCTGCACCCCTATTCCCGGTTACCCCTCGTTCGCGACGCTTCCATCCGCTGAGCGCCGACCGGAAACGGCTGCCGGCGACATTTCCCCGGCACTGACGTCGCGCTAAACGCTCTCTCGACTCTCTTCCAGCGGGCGGAATCACGGAATCAAGAGTAAATAAAAATGCGAAAATGTGACTTGACTAAAAAGCTTTCTCGAGCTGCTCGCAATAAAATCAAATCGAGCAAAGCGTACCAAAAACCCAATAGAATAGAGGCCATTTTATTTCGTTGAAAAAAATAGGAAACACGTTGAAAGCTTTTCAAACGTTATGAAATTAAACGACTGCATTAAAATAACGCCGTGAAGCGTAAATAAATAAAATTGTGCTTAGGCAACTTATTAGTCTATGTATACTTGGTTGCCTAGTGAAAATCATTTAAAAGAATTTTCCTCGGCTGCTCGCAGTTGCGCAAGTTGTTAGCCGTCGTTAGCCGTATTGACAATTACACAATGCGCGCCCGCTTGGAGGCATTCCTCGGCGGAATTTTATGCGCAATTCGTTTTCGTTCCCAGGGATCGAGTGAGTTTTACGTGCGCGCCGCGGTTGAAGACATCGATGGAGAGTTTGTGGACAACGGTGTAAAACAGCAAGGCACACGCGATGACGAGTGCTCCCGTTGCGTCGTCCAGCCGTCCGGCCGTCAAGTCGCGCCGCGTCGCCACAAAAATGCGAAAATCCGTAACGAGACGCCATGTCGCGACGCGCCGAGACTTCGGAACTGTAGAAATTTTATACGTGCATAATTAACCGTAACAACAAGTGTGTCGTCTTAATTTTATCGATCAGAAAATGAAAAATTCAAAAATTTGTATTGTTGGTTGCATACAGTGCACAAAAATAGCTAAGAAGTATTTTGGAATTTTTACACTACGTAAAAATTAATTTTCATACATTTTGCTGGTTTTCTATGCGTAAATTGCAATATGAATGTTAATTGAAACAAAAACTATTGTTTAAATGAAGATGAAGTTTAAATGAAGATACGTAAACAGGATAAACAAATATAGATAATAAAATGAAGTTGGTATGGGTTTTTAAAAGAAAAACTAATTGATTTTTCCGCATAATTAACATTATTCTCTACTCGTAAAAGAAATTCAGCACTCCCAAGGCTGGATGCCTGGCCTGGTCAGCAATGCGTCGACAATGCGACTGTTTCATTCCACCACCGCGCACAAAAAACCTCACTTGCGCGGAAGATGCACGCGCGCAACGCGAAATATTCCTACGCAACTCTTGGCGTGCTCGCGTTTTTTTTTCTTCTTCGTTTTTTTGTTTTTGAGTTTCTTCGTGCCTCTCTTTTCGATATTTTTGTTATTCGCTTTTTTCCACGCAGCTACCGGGTGCGTCGTCGTGGTCGCAAATGTCCGGCGCGTTGTTCCATCGCGTATTTATTTCGTTACGTCTGCGCCTTTATTTGTTTTTGTCGGCGTCTTTGATGCGCACCGCGTTAAAAATCGTGCGAAATTCCAAATATTACGCGCTCGTTAGTTGTCGCCGGCTTCGCCACACTCGCGCATCGCGGAACGGGCTTCTGGTCGTTTGGCGTCGCATGCGTGGAACGTCTTTGTCCGCGCCGGAGTAATCGCCAGTGTCCTGGTGTTCTCAGCGGACAAAAGATAAGCTACACATACGTAAACACGCGAAAATTATCTCTATACCTAGTATTTTAAGGTTATGTAAGATTAAAACATTTTTATAGGTTATATTGACTCATCCATCTGCGCATGCGCAGTTTTTACAGAGAATTATAATGCCTACAACAGTTTGAATACATATTTTGCATTAATTTCATCATTATTACCTCATATCTTATCAATTTTCACGCCTATGAAAATAAAAAACACCAGCGTGAACTGTTAATCAATAAAAACTTCATATAATCATAAAAGCATACATCTATCACAACTCCCAGGTATTGCTGTACACAGTGCTTAATAGAGTGATAATGATGATAAGAATATATTTCCGAACGATCCGGGAGGATGTAATGCGTCGTAAAGTAAATCATAAAACATTTGAACAACATAATGCGTTATTAAAGCAAAACATCTCGCTCGGTTGCTGCGTCGCACGCAAAAAATGGGAAACCATCTCGCGTTGTGCGCGTAAAAAAAAGCGACGCGCACGTATATAAAATTTTTTATAAAAAATAAATAATAAACCAGTTTGATCGCGCAGCGCGGCGGTTTGATTTAACTTTGATTGGTTTTAATGTGCGCGCACATTGAAATATTCTGCCCAGCGTCAGGTCGGCGTAATTACCGCGCCGCGCGTTAATTATTTTCAGTTTGCATTCATTACTTGTGTATTTTTATGCGTACGCACACACACACATAGATATGCAAAGAGATACAGATAGTTTTATGTATTTTATGTCTTTTATACCATCTTGTGTGTACATAAAATACATAAAAAGCATAAAAACGCATAAATTTGCATATTTAAACATTATTCTAAACAACTACATGTTTTATTGCATATGCACATCAAATGGAGTTTTATTACGTTTTATTGCGATTTTATTTTTTATTGTATTCCCATAACTTAACAGTTATTTCCATATTTAAAAAAAAAAGTAATTTTACGGATGCTTTAGAAATATTATCATTATTTTGATATCAAATTTATTAATTTAAAATTTAGTAGTTAGTATTATTTTGAGTTTGTATAAGTTTGAGATGATATTGTGACCTTGACAATGTCAGAAAGAAAATTTCTTGTTTCGGCGCCACAGCACTATACTTGTTAAAATTGTTGGATGTTGGCACCATGTGAAAACGCTGACACTTTTGTCGAGTCATTGTTACTTAACATTTTCGTGCATCCAAGCTGCCGCTAGTGGCCGCAGCCTCTTCTTAACCAGTGTTAAATTGTTTTTTAATGACGCTGCGCTGAGCTGGGTGTTGAAAAGTGTCGATTTCGATTGTGATTCAATCATTCCCTGATGGCTATGACTAATTGTGTTAGTTTAACTGGTTTAACACGATGATCTCTTCATTTTCACAGGTTTATAATGTTATTCGTGTTCATCAAATAGTATAAAGTGAAATAATTTTCAATTTTCAAGAATTAGTATAGTTTAGAATAAAATTTATGAAAATTTTTGTTTATTTTGTATTTAAGAGCTAAATTTGAACGTGAAATACTTACTTTATATTTATATCTAACACTTTTATAACCTAAAAATTGCTGAAATAAGGTTAGGTTGGTAATAATTCTCTTGCACGTGTTTATACTTTACAATTCATTTATTTCACAAAGAAGTTGTTTTCAATTTTTCATGTACATACATAATTTTCCATTTTTTTCGTGTCACTACATTCGCTTTGCGTCGCCGTTTCTCGCAGTTTCTTGTTATGTTCATACACTCAGCGCACTCATCCACCCAAAAAAGCATTCACCAGCCGATCCACACCAGCCAAGAAAACGAAATTGCGAGCACCGCACGAAACACAAATAAATCAAAAAAACAAACAAAAAAAAAACTATCTACAAGTTTGAAACGCTCTCGAGATTTCGTTACTAAAAATTAATAGGTTTTCCTTCCGTCTCCTCTCGTGAAAGCGACGACCTCTGATAATAATTAATATTTATAATTACGCAGATCTTTATACAAATGTTTTTGCGGGTGGAATCGCGTACATCACACACTACTCATCCGACAAATGCCGACAAATAAGTTGCTGGTGGATTCACGTTAATATTGCACTAATATTTGATCCCTTATATGTCAAATTTTTAAATTTAAAATTTTTATTATTAAAAAATCATCCTGAAGAATTTTGCTAGAAGCAACTTATTTCATTTCATTATGAAACAATCAATTACAGGCATTTATCGGATGAGAATGTGTTGAAATGCGATTGCCACCCTCGAAAATAATAATTATCTCATTACTTTATACACTATTACACTATTATCTCGATCCACTGTCGCGGGGCCGCCCCTGCTCTCGCGCACGTTTATAATAATAATATTTTATTCCATATTTATACACTTTGCATCTGCTTTCGCTATTTATAATATATACTTAAAACGTAATTAAAATCACTGGATCCAATGCACTCAGTTCGAAATGCCGCACGGCGCCTGCGCGTCGCGCACACTGTTGACAATTGACAGTTGACAGCCGTCAACCACATCGAATGCTCTCTCACCTCCCGCTAAATTTAATTATTGTATCGCTTGTTCTGTTGTTTTGTGTTTAAAATTTGTGTGTTTGAGATTCGAGTTTAATTTAAATTAAATTTAGTAGTTTAGTAGTTGCAATTTAATGATGTTGGTTTGACGAATCATTAAACAGCCGGCCACACCCTGTAACAAAACAGAACAAAAATTAGTTGTTTTTTTATTCGGTGCAGTCACGATAATAATAATTACATTAAATACGGCAATAAATTCTCCACTCAACACAACCGAGTTGAATGAATTCTAATATGAAAATCAGCAATGTAAACATACAAAAGATACACCGATACACACCATATAAGCGGCGTTAACGCCGAAGAGACACGAATGCACTTCTTGTTCTTCGCGAGCTCGCGCCTTGTCGGCTGTCGGTTGTTGCGCTTGTACACGACGCGAGAGAACAAGCGAAATAATGTGTGTGCGCTGGTAAGTTGGTATGTTACTCCGCTTACAATTACAACATTCTTCCCACATAAATAATGCCTCATTCTTGCCGCGTGTGTTTAATTCACCACCATCGGCGCAATATGATAATTTGATCACGTTGTTACAATTAATTCGATTTTGAATGCATAGATGGCGCTAGGTGTTGAGATTTTTGCAATAATTACTTACGTTAGAAGGCCGGGATTGTCCGTCGGATACCAGGAGTACTGCGGGAGGTAGTTGTGCGGCGGATGTGGATGCGAGGCGGGGTGCGGCGGCGGGTGAATGGGCTGCTGCGGCTTGACGTCCCAGCCGGGCGACGCCGCCGGCTGGCCGGACATGTCCGAGCCGGGCGTCGAGCTGGGCGTCGGCGACGAGTGCTGCATGTAGCCGGTGGCGGGCGAACCGCTCGACGAACCGCCTCCTGCAAAACACAAACAAAAAAAAGAACACAAATTAATTAAAATATTTATCTAATTGAGTTGAATAGTGGTTTATCACGTGAGGGTTCGCAAGATGTTTCTATTGAGTGCAGGGGAATTTGAGACCCGGACACCTGGATGGGGTTTTAATGCGTTTTTTATTTGCCACCGGAACACGCCGGCTAAAAAACCGTTCCGTATGAATACCGAATGAATTATAAAAGATCTTGAAAGAGGAGCGGCGAAAATCGGGGTGATAATATTAACATATTATTTTATACAATATATAAAGGGTATTTAAAGGAAAATTTTGTTCCCAAAAATTTTAATTTTTATGAGATTTTGATCTAAAACCCCTTTGGAGGTTTTAGCAAGTTTTAAGAATTAGTAATGGTGATATCACCGATTTTGGGATAAATTTGACTCCTTACCTTGCATCATATTCTGGCCCTGGGGTCCGGGACTAGTGGACGATAGGTTGGCGCCCGCGCCGAGGAGTCCGCCGTGGCCGCCCGGCGTGCCGTTGTTGTTCGTGCCGCCCGGCACCTGCGCGGCTTTCATCATCTTCTTGTACTTGCTCCTTCTGTTTTGAAACCATATTTTTACCTGCAACATCAAACACAGACCACATGAGTCAGTCATCGCGCGTTCACAACTAGCCGTTTGGCGCATTTTAAAGGCCCAAATAGTTCACAAGTTTACAAGTTCACAGCTTCCCAAAAACGACGACGACCAAACGAGACCGAACAACGGGTGGAACAAAAGCGCGCTGCGCCGAAAGTAATTAAAAACGTAATTAAAACCACCCGAGCCACAACATCGCGCGCGCGTCTTTACTCTTCACCTCCTACTTTAAAGACTCTCGGAGTGAGTGTTTCGGATCCAGAAAGAAACGCGAGTTCACATAGCAAAGGCATTGGCTTTCGATTAGCTGGTATCCACCCGTCCGAGGGATTTTATTATCCGTGTGCTTAAACGGCTCGAAGGAGGCGAAACCAACGCGGTGGGAATCACACGACGGAATAAAACAACAACTCTTGCTTAGAAATCATGAGTAATACTTTACAAACGAGCTGGAATTAATCAATTTTCACAGAAAAATCCAACATCTCCACTTTGCAAATAGCGTATTTTCATAACCTTAGTTTATTCTTTTGATATATGATCGTATGATCATAGATATTGTTACATAACCTTGTTTTTTCCGTAACATTTTGTTTGTTTGCTTTGTAAAAGTTTTACGAGCTCACCGCGCGCGGCATATGCCTTTAATTTAAATTCTAATTCAAATTCTAAATCATTTTATTGTCAGATTTTCTAGGAACTTTGCACGTATCGCATCTTTTCGATCGCTTGTTAAGCAGTAGCCGAAAATGATTAACGCGCAGCGTTTTACGATCGGTTTTATTTACATTTTTAACGTTTTTTTTTTCTCGTTTGTTTGTTTGTTTGGCGTTGTTTGTCGTTGCCGACTTTTCTCGCGATCCGGTAGCCGAATATTACTACGCGTGTGTGTGTTGTTCGCCGAAGGAACAGGAAGCGGCGAGCGGGCGCAACTTAATGCGTTTTTGATTGGTGTTACGACGTATTCGTAATCGTAATGGCGTCTAATTAATTATGTTACTAATTAAATTAAACAAATTTCCCAAGAGAGACAAGCAAGCTGGCGATTTATTGCTTCATCTCGGTGGACACAGGTCGAAGAAACGTTTAAATAAATCATGATTAATTAGTTTAGTTTAATCATAAACCGAAAGAATCATAGATAGGTATTTTTACAACTCGTCGTCAAACAGCTGTCAAACTTTGGTAATTTCACGATTGTCTCCAAAACGAAAATTCACGTCATTTTCGTGCACGTCGTGGAGTTTTCCTGCTGCGTTATGCTGCGTTATAAATATTTAAATAATTCCATAATAAGCACCAATTTCGATGTTTCGCATCGTGCGCTCGCCGGCTTGGGTCGGAAAAGAGGACGCAATGACAAGATGACAAGAGAATGACACGACCGCGCCGCTGACAAAACATGAGAACGACACACCAACACACATACACGCATGGAACATAACCTCAAAGGTAGGCTACACACCTATTCATCGTGTGTATTGTGGACGCGCGGCAGAACGCGAACACACAGGTACGCCTCGGAGCCCTCCGCGCGCGGTGTGTTCGCAACGCTCATTCCGTTTCCGTTTTCCACATGGCGGAGCACACACATTACAAATGATAATCCATGTCATGCTGCCCGTACCGTTGCCGGTGTGCACGAACGCACACACACACATACACACACGCACACATCTGAAAGCCAGAGAACACGAGAGAGACTCCCACACTGTAATTACGTAATGACATGTGCCGCTTCGGCAACTATCCGCACCGAAACTGGAAATAAAAAGCGACGTAAACGCGAACATGCAGCGCAAAGCGTTTTCTTCGAGCAAAATATTTGTTGATTTGGAGGTTAGACGCCGTGGTGCGCATGCGCCGGGCCGATTGCTTTGACATTTGACAGCTGACGTTTGGTGGTGTCATTGGTGCGTAACGATGGAGGTTGTAAAGTTGTAGAAATGAAATTTATTCGATGTGAATCTTGAGTTAGTAGAGCTAGGGCCGGTTTAATCGACGTGGGCACGTTCGGCGTGTGTAGTTACCCATGTCGAAAATTAATTCAATTGTTTTACAAAACGTTCGACGCACCGCCGCCGACGACATGATTAATTTGAGCTTATTTGTTATTCAAATTGAGCGCGGGGCTTTTATTTCGTTGCTATCGACGCTCCTAATTTGTAAAACGCATCAACGATTAGCATAAGCATTAAACAACTTTACATAAACCGTCAAAATGAAGTTTTCGTGATATTTTGACAGCGAAATGTCAAAATGTTTATGGATAACCTTAAATATCACGTGGATATGTGAGTAGGCACGGTGTTTTCTTGTGCTGTGAAATGTTTCGATGGGAAATATGCCGGTGAGCATCGATAAAGGTAATAAACAAATACGTCGGCGCAGGTCAAAGCGTCGCTGGAAGTGGAGTAGAATCCTCGTTATTCTTTGCTCGAGTGCGCGCCGCGCGAGTACACCTGTAGCGTGGCGCGCCGGTTAAGGCTCCTTTATTTTGCGTGCGTTTTTTTTTTCGCCTTGCGCTGCGGCATTTTTACCGCAGGATGCCTTTCTCCTTTCGGACCCAGCGTTCGCTTTCGCGACTTTTTCAGTCGTGTGGCATCTCGCGGGAATAACTCCATCCAAAACGAGCGCCGCTATTTTTTGACGCACATAACCTAACTTGAGTCAAAATTTGACTTAAGTCAACTTTGTATAAAACATCTAACTGTATAGCTAGTATATACCTAGTATAAGTACGAGTATCATTGCTTGTGTAACTTTGAGAGTGTCGAGTTTGATTCTCTTGCGTTCACGTGACTTAAGTTGAGTTTACGTGAGTTTCGTTTTTTTGCGCGCGAGCGCGGCATGGAAGAAAAAAAGCGCCGACTTTGAGCGCGACTCATTACGTCTGTGCGCGTCGGCAGCGTGCGCGCGAGCGAAATAAAAAAAAATAACCCTGAGGCGCTACAAAAAAGGTTGAAGCAAAAGGAAATGTTACAAGGTCTTCGAGATAGCGTGGAGATTGTGCGGCCGTTTTGTAATCGCGCGCGCGCGCGCACGCCGCGTTTTGTCTCGCGCATGGAAGCACAATTCGTACAATAAAACACACTCGCACACGAATATAACCTCACATTCACATTTGTCATATTCACAATTTGCGAGCGAATGAATATCATATAACATATCCTAACCTAACTTTAGTTGAATGCTCTTTAAATGAATTTGTAAGTGTTTGAAATTTCGCCGTTCACTTTATTTTTAATTATTGTTTATAACGAGTCGAAAACCAGCTTCTCGCTGGCGTCGCTGGCGTTCACTCTTGAAGACTTCATGCGACTGACAGCATTCCGCTCGCGGCTCCGGTTCTACTGCAATCGCTTTTGTATTTCACGTTTTACATCCAACCGTGGTTTATTTTTATTTTCAACTCTACCGTATGAATAATTTAATCTTAATTTTTGTTCAGTCTTTTTATTGTGAACGCGCTGGTCCAGATGTAAGGCGACTTAAATGGCTTTTTTTGATCATTCTGATCATCATCAAAGTCGATTTTGTCTTCGGTGCGCTCCGTTTATAATCATGTTGCATCCATTGTTTGTTATGGAATATATTAAGATGTTGCTGGCTTTTCTGCCTACATAAATTCCGTTTTCGGAGTGGTTTGCAATCGGTTTCCATAAAAATTCGCAATTTTGCAATCAAGAGACTTTCTTAAGATTTACTTACTTAAGATTTGAGACGCTCAACATTTCAAGATTGCACACTTTTCAACGCTTAGAAATTATTATTATAAAATTCATTTATGTGCAAAAATAATATAAAAAGAATATTTAAGTTAATATTACGGAAAAAGTTTTAAATTTTAATTAAAAATTTATAATATTAGAGTAGGGCGCAAAAAAAGGAGCGTCGTGTGATTTATTACCCTTCAATTATGCAAAACACATAAATAAATGAATTAAACATGGTAAATACTTGTTTAAACACTACCAGAATGTAATAATCAACTAAACGATGTGATTATTGTCAATTTGATTAAATTACACGAATCATGAATCAACTTAATCTTAATTTCTCTCATTTTACGTTAAAATAATATTAATTTAAGTATCAGTGAAATTTACGATCGCTACACTTAACATTTTGACAAATATTCAACAGATTCGTCCTTCCTAACCGTTAAATTGCATAATTTATAGATCCTTTCTCGAATACCAGAAAAAAAAAACAGCAACAACTTGACATTAGTCATATTTAAAGCAGTAATTGTATCGTTACGTCGCCGTGTGTAGTCAAGTGTGGTTGCAGTTTCCGCTCGCGCGACCGTTTCACGTCCTGGAATTGTGCTGATGGCTGGGGAAACTTACAACATGTTGCATGCGGCGCGCGTGCGACGACGTTTTCGTGTGACCCTTTTATTATTATTACGATTTCGACGTTTTATTTCATTCTTTTCGCCGGCCCTCTTTTACCTGTTGTGTTGTGTTGGCGTTTTTTTTTATTATTATCAAATCGCGAGGTCAAATGAAATTCGTACATGAACCACCAGCAGCGATAAAAAAAAGAGCCACTGGAAAACTTTATTTAGCCTTTACTGAAAGACAAGTGGAGCGAAAAATGCACAAGATAATAAAACAAGGCAATAAACCGAACGAATGCGGACGGGAGCGCGACGCATCGATTATTATTTTTAAGGTGCGGGCCGAATTTGACAACCGTGAAGATATTGCCCTCTCTAATGACAAATAAATGGCCTGCTTCACGTTCAACACTAATAATATACAGTATGTTGAAATAAAATCAAAATTAAAAATTAATTATAGATTTTATTGTGAACATACTGTATTTATATACAATCCACACCCTGTTATGATCATAAACCTAACCTAAAATCCACTTTTACGACGGTCACAATAAAATAGGCGCTTTAAAGTCACTCGGCATGGTTGTGAAGCAACAACTGTCGCTCGAAAGTCACATCGTTCACATCACTTCAC